AGAAACGATGTACAAATGCGCTTTACACAATTGATGTGTGTATGGATTGGGATAACAGTTGTATGAGCCCCAAATAAAATAATTTTTTTAAAAGAAAAAAAATAGGTGGGAGAAGGCAAACAGCTGGATTATCTGGCTTATCTGGCTCTTGACCACGGTGACAGTGGCCCCCAAGCCTCCCGTATCAGTGCTTGTGCTCACATCTAAATTTACATGAGCCTCTTTTCTTATTTAGAAACCCGTTTCATATCTAGAGGGAAAGATGAGACTGTCTACTCCAATAAAGGCTTACAGTCTCAGAAACACCAAGCAATAGTTCTCTGTCCCTTTAGGTCTTCAGTGTCAGAATTAATTTATGGCAGTGGGCTTTCTAATCTAGAATCGTCATTCCAAACCTACCTCAATATTTCGTGAAGTCTGAAGTTCCACCTCTTTGAGAAGACCTCCTCTAATGGACCTCACTTGGTTCTGACCACTATTCTTCAGAGCCTCAATCCTTTCCAACATGTTCATCACTGGATACAGCTGATGTTTGACTTAGTTCTTCTGATTGCGCGTGGAGGCACTCCCAGTGGACGGCAAACTCTTGGATGCATCTTTCAGCCCTTCAGTGGTAAAACAGATACAATAACAAGATGCTAACATGGAAAGCATATTATGCTCCAAATATAATGTTAAGTGGTCTACTAGCAAAGTATTTACAATACAGCTGGGAACTAGTAAGTCATTCATTACTGCTATTTAGAGACCTGCGAATTTTATAGCATTATAAGCCCTATTTCTTGACAAAGCAAACTATGGGGCATGGAAAGATTAGAAAACTTGCCCTGGGACATCCAGCTCCTTAAGGGGCCAAAACAAAACTTGATCCCAGGCTGACACCAATAGTCATCCAGCTGCTTGCCCATTACAAACAAACAGAACAACAAAAAAACCCAACAACACACATCAATCTTGTTTGCGATATGCCCCTGCAGTTTCCAGAGCAGTGTCAGATGTATTCAAGTCAGGTTTCACTTCAGAAAATGTCCCCTCTTCCACAGTTCAATTGCTCCGTGGATAAAGGGAAGAGGCACAAGGACTGATATCTCCCCGGAGAGTTCCATGTTAACGTTTAGAGCCCACTGAGATCCTGTCCTTGGGGTCACAATGGGCCTTTTAAAACGCTGACGTTGCCCAGGCCTAGCTCGTGTTTGTTTTCCGTTATTATTAACATGTTCGTTCTGGCCCACTTGCAGTTGTGTTGTGTTTGGGTTTTGGTCGTTCTTGGCCTCCAATACCTGATCAGAACTCGATCATATCAGAGGGTGAACAATCTAAACAGGAGGCATATGTGTATGATACGTGTTTCGTAGTAGTGTGAGAGGCGCAACCTCCGCCATGGAATACGTCTTCTTTCTCACGTCGATTCGAGTACAGGGTCATTGGCGGCCCACAGTTGTCCTGAAGTGGCCACACTTTCTCCTCGTCCTGTTGTGTCATAGAGCGGGAAATGGCACTTTGCTGGGACTTTCCCTTCCTTCCTTTCCCTCCTCCTCCTCCCTCTTCCCCCTGCCTTCCTCCTTCAACGTCTGGGTTGACTAGAAGCACCAGAGCCAGGGTCTGGGGCCTTGAAAGGCTCCAGGATTCTGGGGAGAAGGCTCAGGCGACACGCTCCCTACCAGGCAGCCTGGTCCTGTCACCTTCCCGCAGGGCAGCTGCACGGGCTCCACCCGGCCGGGCAAATGGCCCCGCCCTGGCTCCGCCCACCCCCGGGCTCGGAGCCGCCACCGCCGCCTCCCTCTGGGTGTCCGCCGGGTGAACGCAGGGATTGGAGAGCGGGTACTGAGGCCGGGGCCGTCCAGAGAAGCGCGCCCTTGGGGAGAGCGCGTTTCCGGCCGGCCGCGCTGCAGTTGCGGGCGAGCAGCCGCCGCCTCCCACCTGCGGCAGCCGGGCCGCCCACGGCGCCCGGGGCGGCCTGGAGCCCGGAATCCGCGGCGCCCGGGGCGGGTCTCGGGTCCGGCGCGCGGCTGCGTGCCGTGGGGTCCAGCGAGGGCCTCGCCCCTTCGGTCCCGGAACCCCCCGCGGCGGGTTCTTTTGTGTCTTTGTTTTCCTGACAGTTCCCAGCCCCTCGGCCCGTGGGGCGCGACGCACCCCCGGCTCTCGGGCCGGCAGCCGGCTGAAATTGCCCCTGCATCATCCTGGGGGGATCATTGTTTATGATGTGACGTCAGCCGGCTGGATGCTTGTTCTCCCTCTTGAATGAGAGCGTGGAGAGAGGGAGAGAGAGACTGACATTTGGAATTCCTTCAGGGAAAAGATGGAAATGGGAGCGTAAGCGTGCTGGCAAGATTTCAAGCGGCACGGCTTTATTACGAAGTTTTCCTTGCAAAAAGAAAGAAAAAGCCCCTGCGCACGGAGCCGCGTAGGTGCTCCTTTAAGCCAGAGCCCCCGTTGAGGGGGTGGCGCCCGATCCTCGGTCCCAGGCCCCCAGCCGCGGCCGGAGGCGCGGAGGGTGGGGGAAGTGCGTCACCAGGTGGGGAAGGGGCTGTGCATCTGGTGACCCGCGGGAGGGCCTGGGGGTGGCGGAGAATGGGGACGGGCAATGGGTTCCGTGTGCTCTCCGGGGGCATTGTGTCAGGAGATGCGGGCTGGCTACCATGTGACGCGGTCCAGAGTTGAAGGGATTGGCCGAGGCAGCGCAGGCGGTGCAGCTCGGCCGGCTGGCTCTCTCTCCCAGCATCTTCCTGGGAGCCTGTAGGTGAAGCGGTACCAGCAGCATCCATGGCCTGCCTTTGGGGTTGACACTTGTCTCCTTGGGCTCCACCAGCTGACAGAACCGACCCTCCGACACGGCGCTGCGCGGACTTAACTGGGAACTGGAATCGTATCCTCGCGTGTTTTTCCAGACTCCTTGGAAATTAAGGAATGCAATTCTGCCACCATGATGGAAGGTAGGATGCTTTCTGCTGTGGTTGACTGGCTTCAGGCAAGGTTTGGGCCGAGCAGGAGGAAGGGATGTGTGCAGCCTGTGTGCGGGCTGGTCTACAACCTGGCTGCCAGGATTTTGCCAGCAGAAACGCTGCAGTTTGCTTGCAGTAGACCACGGGCGCAGACTAATGGAATCAAACCACAGGGCCCTTGCTTAGTTAGCTCAGTCATCTACAGAGGGGCCTGCACCTTTGAGAGAGAAAAGCCGAAAGTGTTCGCAGGGAGCTGAGATCGAGCTAGGGAAGAGCTTGCGGAGCAAAGAAGTTGGGAGAGAAGATAAGGTTTTCTGTGCCAGGCTCCTAGGACTGTACTGATTAAACATTTACAATGGAAACTTGGTTCCTGAAATTGACACGAGACAGGAGAGGCCATCAGAGTTATATACATGCTGTCCTCTGTAGTGGTCTCCTTAAATAATGTTCAAAAATCATCTCTGCAGCATATGTCTTATGGTTGCAGGAGGGGCGCAGCGGATTTGGTCCATAAGCTATAATTTTATGGGGATGTCAGCGCAACAGAATGAGCAATATAAGGAAAAAATCAGGGCCTCTTGGCTCCAGATTCAGGGTGTTATCAGGTTAAGAAAGAATTCCGTGCTTAAGTGTTTTCCCCTGCAGTGGTTCCTCGCCAGGCATTACATGATTACTTGCTGATTGCCTTTTTGCGTTGTTCAATTTGAAGTGTAAATAGGAACTTTTTTCCTGGGGAGATGCTTTTTAAACTACATTTTATGCTACTTAAATACCTTCCCAAGCTTGGCATGGTGACAGGCAAGATTGCCTTTTTAAAAAAAAAGGCAGCAAGCTAATCAGGGAAGAAGCAAGCAGCCTTGGTCGGCTTCGATTTTCTGTTTTCACACTACAGGATGGTATAAAACTCCTGGCCTTTCCTAAGATGACAGGCAGAAATTTGTCCCCAGACTGGATCTCACAATGCAGGATCAAAAGCATAATGGGTCTCAAATCAGCCATGAAAATGGCAGAGAGGCCACCTCTTCTACCAAGGTCTATCCTACAGATTTTAAACATTCCGTAGAAATAGGCCAAAATGGAATAAGAGGAGAATGTTTTTACCAAAACACAAAACCAAGACAGCCTATAATTGCAGAAATGCATTCTTTTCTGCTCTCTCTGCCATCATGTCAAACATTGTTCCTGTGATTTGGTGAGTGAATAATTCTAGAGTCATGGCCCACAGCTTTTAGAAATAGCTTCAAAAGAGAAATTGGGAATCGTTTCGCTTTGGGGCCTGGTCTTTTTGCAAAGGACTCTGAACCTAGTTCCTTAAATATAGGACTTAATAAGTTGAGGTTATTAATGCTCTGAGATTAAATCATTTTCATTAATTCAAAATGGATTTAATCCTTGAGAACAGGAGAGACAAACAAAAAGAGTATTACTGCTTTACATAATTAATCAATTAAAAGATCATGTAATATACCCCTTTTAGACAAAAAGAACCTTGATTAGAAGTATTATATTCCTCCAGCTACATTTCATGTAGCATTTCTTGAATATGCATCTGCACACATCTTGATTCATTTTTCAATCTTACATGGGCAAGTGGATGATCTGGCATTTGACTCCTTGCCTTGCAAACTATGGAAGACATATCAAGTTCTTCTTGGAAAGTAGTAACATCTCCTGATGCTCTTTAATGATTTTCCCGGTACTGCGGTCTATTGTACCATCCCAGAATCTCAGTTCCAAGCCCAGTGATAAGCTTATCTAAGCTGCCTAACCTGAAATGAGAACAGTAACAAAGACTTCTGTAGCAGCTGAAGTGGCACTATTGCTCTGGGTTGGCCAAATGTGTCGAATGAAGTATGTTATCTTAGCCCTGGTAGGAATTTGAGGGGACACTATGGAAACCGGACAGATTTTCTATTGGCTTAACATAGAAATGAAATATATAGGTATGTATATGTTGCTCTAACTGTTGCTGGTATTTAAATACTTTTCAAGACTCTTACCTTACATAAGCTGTTAGTCTTTGGGGCAATATGGGTTCATGGTTCTGCTATTGCTTTCAAGTGTCTCACCCCTGGAATTGTTGTTAATCTGAACTATAGTGTAACGCTTGTGATTGTTTCTATTTAGCTCATCTGTGGAGGAAACTAAACTGTTCAGTCTATCATGATAACTGCAAAGGCACCTTCCAGTCCTATCATTGCAGCTTTTACAGAAACATCAATGGACTCTGAGAATATATCTCCAAAGATCAGATACAGTGATATCTGTAAACACTAGTGCATGTACACAAACTCACATGCATTCACACATTTCTAAAGCCAGAGAGAAGACATTGGCATATGTGTGTGCATGGATTTCTGTATTTCTAACATGTTGTCATCTGCTACTCAGAAACGGCATGGCCAGAGCAACTTTACAAACCTATTTGTCAGCACTGTGTCAAGCCATTGTAGACAAATCTTCAGCAGAATGGCTCCTAGTTTAGTTTTGGGCTCTCACTTTTTTTCATGGAACACACTTATAGCCTCCATCCATTCAGTGACTAGTGGAAATCCTGGTCACACATCAAGACTGCTCTTGCCTCTGCATATTCTAATGTTAAGGGATGCAATAAAGCAATTCTACAGGGACCGCAAACAGATTACCAGTAGTTTGTGGCTCCATGGTTCACTTCTAATGTTTTTCTTTTAAAAATATCTCAAGGGACATGGTTTCTTTATTCTTGAATTCTTTCTTGTTGGGCAGTGATTGGTTTGAGTTGTGTCTTTCTTGGAGAATACTCTATGACACGGAATCTTCCGTGTGAGTTTTATGAGTGTGACGGAGAAAGAGGAGAGAACTTCTTGCTATAGGGTTGCTATGAGCCTGAATCAGATCAAGAGCAGTATGTGTTTTGGGTGGTGGTTGTTTTAATGCACTGGATAAGCTTGCAGTGCAGTCTAGGTGGTTAGGGCAGCTATTGTTTTTTTATACGTTAGTATTAAAATTTGAAAATGACATTACAGTATACTCCTACTTCTAGCATAAGTGAAATCGAGTCAGAGTTTCTTAGTACATATGTTTATTTGTGAGGCTGTCTTAGGAGCACTTTCCTTTGTCCCTGGGGAGCCCAACTAAAGGTGCTTTGCCTTTTTAGTTTCATATTAAAGTTATAATGTTCTATATTAGAAAGATACATTTCTGTATGCCAATGACTTTGCCCGATAGGATGAATTTTTATAATTAACAAGAGTAGCTTGAAAGCTCATTGTATTCACTTTCAATGTGCAGGATGATTTCATAAATTATATTTACTATTCGTAATAACCTACTATAAGGGTATTGTGCCTACAGTGCTTTTGTCTTTTTTATCTAAATTATAAAAAATAAAAAAATATATATATTGATGTGGAAAATGGTGGAAGGAAATTGGAGCCCAAATTCATTTGGCCACCAAGCTTGTATTTTTGACCCCTCACCAGCTGGCAATCTGCTCCATCAGATGCAGTGCCTGGGAAACTTTACTGGACAGTTCTTCTCTGCCCTATAGCATTGCTGGACCACACAACCAACGACAAATATTTAACACACTAAAACTTTTTCTCTTTGTATGAAGATGGCACATATTAATTGAAAATAGTCTTTAGTTCCTTTGGTTGCATATTCTGTCTCTCACTGAAATATGACAACTTCCAGAACCACACGTTAACCCCTTGTTCATGTCTTCTACCCCGGTGGCTGTTGTATGGATAGTTTTGTACAATTCTGGATCAACTAACTTTTGTGACAATGAACCGTATAAATAGTCCCCCACCCCATTGTGAAATGGAGTTGTATCATATCTGGAGAATGCTGTGAGGTCATCAAACAGGAAAAAGCCCCCTGAAGATCCTGCTTGTTCATTGTCCAGCCAACTAAGGAGTTGTAAAGGAAATGTCTCTAATTCTACCAATTTCCATCCTAGAAATCGCGATGTTATTTTGCAAATTCTAAGCATGCATTCGAGATTCTAATATACCGTACATCACTTATGTAATTCTTGTACTTCATGCAGGCCCTATGTCCAAATGGGCCTCCTAGACATAGGCGGATATGTTCCCATCCAATTTCAGGAGTCAAATCCAAATCTCCAAAATGAATATCCAGTCTATATCTAAGAATATATAGCTTGTATAAATGACTTTAAGACTATAGATAACCCTTTCTGCTGGACTTGGCACATATTTTCTCCATGTTCCAAGTAAGCAAGTTATGGAGAGTCACTAATTCATAACTTTTACGTTCCGTTCCTGAACGTTTGTGAGCTTGTTTCCTTAGGGATAATGATAAGAATGATGATCAGATTCTCTTCTGTGCTTTAAAATCAAAAGCCATTAGTCTTTTGATTAGAATATAATAATTACCATGATATGTGCAAAGAACAGAATCGTTGCTATTTTAATTCACCTGAAGAAAATGATAGCGTTGGACATATGTTTAACTTCAAATGTTGGTTTTTTTGAGGGAAGGAAGGTTTCATTAGAGGATGATGAGAAAGTGAAGACAAAATTTGCAGGGGGTTTCTAAGTGGTTCTAGAAAAGGCTTAGAGACTCATGGCTTTCCATTTTGCAATTAAATTTAATTTGATGTTTATATTTGTGGCTTTATATCCTCTCAATTAAACTGTATCATATATACAGCTGTTAAATTGTGATAAAAGTCATTTTGTGAAACTCACAGTGGAATTAAGAGAGGGTGAGAGAACTTACTGAGCAGAATGTGAAAGAGTTGGGAGGGAAAATGAATACAAAGGACTGCTGCATTAGGATCGGTGTCTGGGAAGACCCCGAGGAGGAACTAACTGAATCCAGACAAAGTCCTAGATAGCGTGAGGAATTGGTGAGCATGGGAAATCAGCAAGCACAGTGTCCATCTGAGGAGGAAGTGGAGTCTCGGGTGGAACCACTGATGCAGGTATAGCGATGGGCGCTCAATGGGCTGCTTCAGCAGCAGGAGAACTATTGAGGAAGGG